CTATATTTTAATTTTTTTTACCAAATAAATTATTATTTATAATTTTACATATAAAATTAGTTACTTAAAAAAGAGGAGATTTGAATTTTTAACTTTGATTGAGATCAAAATTTTTTTAATTAATATTAATTGAGTGAAATTATTAGAGAATACCAAAAGAAAATTTCTAAGTGCATCGATTAAAATTTAGAAGTTTTGACATGGTGGAAATATATATAGATTTGACCCTAAATGAAGATGTTTAATAACAAATTTTTTGTTATGATTAAATAATCAAGCATATATTTATCATTTAATAAGCTTATTAATGGTTAAATTCATTGCATTAAGGCACATTATTAAATATAACACCATCATTTGAACTATTAAAATTACAATTTAACTATTAATAATTGAGGATAGTGATCTTTAATTCCAGTATCTTATCACTTAATTGTAATTATCTAAAAATCCAAAATTACATCATTTAAACAGGCACATTGAAAATAATTAAAATAGTCATTCACATTCTCAAATTATACTATTTTAAGTAGTCATTTTTAATAAAATTTATCCAAGTAACACCAATTTAAAATTTTAAACTCTAAATATTTTAAGTTAAACTCTATTTTGGTCCCTTAACTTTTGTATATACTCTTGATTAAGTCCCTTGACTTTAAAAATCCTTGATTTGGTTCTCTAAAGTTTGGTATTTGGACTCTTTTTTAGTCCCTTTATTGAATTTTCGCTGAGGTAGCCCATTAACTGATAGAAGAAAAATGATATGTTCAAAAATAGTTGACACATAGGATTGTAGGCATGGATGAATGAATGATGTGGTCAAAAAAACCTTTGCCACATAATTAAACAAATATAATTATCTAATCTATTAAAAATTACAATATTACCTTTATCTTCTTCCTCCATCGTCCTCTTTCTCATATCTTCTTCATTCTTTCTTTTTTTTCTCTCTCTCTCTCTCTTTGTCTCCTCTTAGTCCACTTTCATCACTATTTTTTTGAATCAAACAATCAATTCAATAAAATGAAATTTCATTTTTCATCAATCAATTCTTTATTATCATTAAACAACAAAATCCACAAAAAAAAAATATTTTTTTTTTTGCCCAAAAAAATTTGTTGGGTTAATGCCTACCGAGTTCTTTTTTATTGTTCTTTGATTTTTAGGGTTAATGGGAAGAAAAAGGAGAAGTTGAAAATTTGTGCAGAGGTGGGCTCCTTTTTTTTTTTTTTTTTTTGGTGTTGGGTGAGAATGTGATGTGTCTTGTTGGCACATCATCTTTTTTTATGTGTATA